CGGTTGCCATCAGCAATCCGCTTACGGACTCGCACTTTTTAGAACTTCAGCGTCATACAAAGTTAGATCAAGAAATGCAGTCATTAATTAAGTTGATTAGAAAGGGCTGGCCGGATCACAAGAGCCAATTAGAATGTTTGTTGAGACCGTATTGGGATTTCAGGGATGAGCTTACCGTAGCATACGACATGGTGTGGAAGGGCGCAAGAATAGTAATACCTAATTGTATGCGTAAAGAAATGTTGCTTAAAATTCATGCAGGGCACTTAGGCGCAGAAAAATGTAAAAACAGGGCCCGTGAGATTATGTATTGGCCCAGCATGAGTTCACAAATTTCAGACATGGTCTCGCACTGCCAGGCATGTCTTACCTACAGGAAACAAAATAGCAAGGAAAGTCTTATACCTCACGAAATACCTAGCAGAGCATGGTCAAAGTTAGGCGTGGATATATTTCATTTTGCAAATAAGCCATATTTACTTGTTGTAGATTATTACAGTAAATACATTGAAGTAAACAAGTTGAATACTATGACCTCATGGGAGGTTATTGATAATTTAAAAAACATTTTTAGTAGGCAGGGTATTCCGGAAATATTGATGTCGGACAATGGTCCGGAATTTAATTCAAGCTATTTTAAAAGATTTGAGACAGAGTGGAAGTTTAGGCATATAACGTCCTCGCCGCGCTATCCGCAATCTAACGGCCAAGTAGAACGAACTGTACAGATAGTAAAAAACATGCTTAAAAAGACACATTACGACCAAACAGATTTCCGTTTAGCTCTTTTAGAATATTTGAACACTCCGATTAGTGCAGACTTACCTTCTCCAGCTCAACTTTTAAACAATCGTAGTTTAAGAGGGATTTTACCGCGAGCCCCAGAATTTTTGGAACCAAAAGTTGTCAATAAAGATATAGTAAAAGCACAGTTACATAAACGTCAAATCTATCAAAAACATTATTACGATAGAACAAGTAAAAAACTGAAGGAATTAAAGCAAGGGGACAACGTTAAAGTATTTACAAATGGGATTTGGTCAAATGGTTTAATAATAAAAAAAAATAACGCGCGATCTTATTATATTAAGATGTGCAAAGGTCGTGTAATAATAAGAAACCGTAGGCACATAGTGAAAGATAGCGAGTATCGCAATGAGTCATACGTGTCGCCGTATGACGCTGATGATTTCAACATCGCCCGCGAAACACAAGCGGCGCGCACCCGTGTCCACGTTCTGGATCCGTCCACCCAATCATTGTTAGGTACAAATCGTGAAAGCAACAACTTATATGTTACGAAATTTGGCAGGACAGTGAGGCCTCCTGATCGGTACGGGTATCCCTAAACAACTGGTAAGATAACGAAAACTAAAACTCAAAAATTTGTTGAAAAGACGAAATGTATATTTTATATTATAATACTTAGAACAATAAGGTAATTAACTAAGCCTTTTGATTTTTGTATTAATTTTTTTTTGTTTGTTTGCATGGTTTTGTATTTTTATTTTCATTCTCTGTTAGTTACATTGCACTTAGTTATATCTTGTCATTTTTTAGTTATTGTAGTTGTTTTTTTTTTATCTCTTTCAGAAATATTGTATAGATTGTAGGAATAACTTAAGCTGGGGGATGGTTTGTTATTTGTAACTTTTCTTTTAATTTTTATTTATTGTGTTTTATTTCGTATTAAGTTTTTTATTTTTATTATTATGTTCAAACATCTGTTTAAAAGAAGGGGGATGTCAGGTATATAGAAATAAAGATTTCGGTTAATAAAAATATTATCTATCGTGGGTAGATATTAATAAATCAGTTGATATGTGACAGCTGTTTGATTTAACACATCCCGTGCATTAAAAAGACTTTACATATGTAATGTAAGAATTTCAATTTATTCATTTTAAGAGTGAATATTTACCCTTTCAATGGTAGTTTTAAACAGGTTTCACTCTATACAGATATAAGGAAATGATTATAAATTTTACAATAAAAGTTTCCATATTTCTTCGCATAATTTGTATGTTTGAGGCCTAATTTTAGTCTTCTTGTCAATAAGCATCTCTCGAAGCACATCTAATAGAATCTATAATTTCGAGGGTAGATGTATAGTGGAAAAGTCCCTTTTTTTCGTCCCCTCTTCTGTCTGTTAGATTTACGTAAGGTACTTGACTGAACTTTAATAGATTATATTACACCGACGTCAATAACATCTGAAATTGAGTAATTAATAAACATTTTGTTCAAATTATTGTTAATCGAGGTCGAAACACAAAAGAGTGGTGTAAGCAAAACAGAAGAAACGCAACTGCCGACTGACCACGTTGGATTGCGTTCGTAACATCAGTCGACATTCGGAACCCAAACTGATTGGACGTGGTGACAGTTGCGAAAAAAGTGAATTATAAGTTACTTTGGTATTTAATGCAGTTTTAAATTTCGAAAAAAAAAACAAGTAAGTTTTTCTTTGTGTATAATTAATTTTAAAATTACTATTTTCTTTTTTTATTATTGTAAATCCATTTTTTTGTTAATTTTTGAAAAAAAAAATATACTTAATTCTAATTGATAACATAGGGAACTTATGTTATAACAGCCTTTCTTATCGCAAAACATGGAAAATCTACTGGTATAAAAGTTAAAATTGTAATATTAAAAATATTTTTTGTAGTAAAAATCATTTTTAAAAAACATATGAATACCTTTTATTAATTTTTAATAAGTAATTAGGTTTATAAGTTTCTTTATTTACATTTATTTGATTTTTAATCTGCGCGGACGGAGTCGCGGTCAAAAGATAGTTATATTAGCTTATTATATTTCTTAAATCATATAGAGAGCATATTAATTTTTTTTGTTACATTTTACTGCCAAAAAACCTGTACAGAAATATGTCGTTATCTCTTTCATCTTCATTGAAAAAACAAAGATAGCAATACTTTCTTGAATATAGGTAACGTATGTATTCTTCTTTCGTCAATGTATTCTAGAGAAATATTTATTAATTACACGTAAATGATTAACACTTGTCCGGTTATGAAAGGAATCTTGATTGACGTATCATTATATATATTGAGATTTATCTTTAAGTTTTATACTTTGCCATATCTTTTTAAAATTTAAAAAGTAATTTATTAAAAACTATAAAAGAGCTTGTTAACATAATGGTAGGTAAAAAAGATATTAATTTTAGAACAGTATATCCTAGTCGGATTGTAAACTGGCAAAGTTATCTATCTATCGGTGACAGGCATAATTAATATTATCGACGCAGTATAGAACAAGCATACAGAGGCGCTGACGCGTCCTCGACGTCCATAATCCGTGTACGTCCGCTTGTGCAATGCGGAGGAAAGTTAGCTTGGAGTATGTACAAAGAACAAGAAGTTTGTTACATTTGCCGGCTCAAAGAAGGCTTCAATGTATTAAAAAAATCCTTATTCTTATTTTTCATTCCTTTTTCAAATTTTTTACATGCCCACGATCACTTTTATCCCTAATTCCTAATTTTTATAGTTTGTTATAATTTTGAATTAAAATTTTTTGTACACTCCTGACGCTCACCTATGATTCTTTACAAAATATCAGCATCAGCTCACTGTACGTCCCCACTATGGGGCTAGAATCCTACCTTAAGTTAAGGGTGACTAGGCCATAGTCGATAAGGCTGACCTAATGCGAGTTAACTTCACACATATCTTCGAATTGCCTCGCAGTGCAGGAAGTTTTCCTTCACCGTTAGAACGTCGGATAAATGTACATATGTAAATCGAATAACTCATTGGTACATTGCAAGATTCGCATCCGGGACTTATAGAAGTCTAATGCTAGCCCTTGAGCTACTGACCGTACTACATATTTTAACGTTGTTAAGTTACTATTTAAAAAACTTGACAGGTAGGGTTAATACTATATTCAGGTGACGATTATAAAATCGCTCAAGCATGTTAGGCGGGTCACGAGCACGGAAATACCCGGTGAAAATATTCCAGTCAATCGGGTATAAAATAAAACATCCTTGTAATTAGATGCGTATTTAATTAATTTCCTAGGCCGTCGTCTGTTACACGTTCTACTGTAACTGCTGACCGGTGAAATTCCATGACGTCAAAGAAGGCTGACGTGGAGTACATTATTTAGTCTGACGATCAAGGTTTCTGGTCCACTTCTACGACGACAAAAAGGATTTTTCTTAATGGGTTTTCCCTTATCTGTCGATTAGTTGTTTACATATTTACGATTTATTGGCTTTTGGATGAATATTTGTAGAGTTACTTATTTTTATTTTTGATATACAACGTGCTCGGTTGTCACCTTCTTGAAAATTAAGCACAAATAAATATTACTAATAATCAACATTATTGTAGATAATACAAATGAAAACAATCAATTTCATTCGCATGTATCTGTGAAATATAATATTTTTTTCTACTAAACGTTTTTATAATGTCAATAATGGATTTATTTCGAGATGTTAACAATGATTAGTGCGAAAAAAGATAAAAAAAAGTTTCATCGTCTATATGTTGTCAGTACTGTCGTGAGACATTATTATTAAACTGCTAATAAACGTATAACTGTCACGCATTTTATCTGGTGTCTGCACCTAGTAGTTTCAAGCCCATCGCGGGCTCTTCTTCAGGGCGATTGTAACTGGTATTATTTCACGGTCAATTCACGGGTAAGAGACGAGCCGTGACCACGAAAAAAACCAGTCCCGGCCTCAATGAAGAAGAGTCCGTAATAGGCTTGAAACTAGTTGCTGCCGAGATCGGATAAATTGTACATTGGTACTTTTAATCTTAATTTTTTCTCATTTAAATTTAATGAAATAAAAATCAACATACAAATAGTTTGCTATTTAAATCGATCCAAACGAAAACCAACGAAGGTAATCAACGTTACTAAATAGCCTGCCTCCTTGGCAGTGTGTTAGTCATGCTCCTTACATATACACATAGGATAATATTATCGGACCAATCTTGTGAATTAGCGAATAGCCTTAACCGTCAGACTTTCTTGTAAGGGCAATAAAATCGCGACGAATTCAAAAACAACTTTGAAATAAGACTTTAAAATTAATCATCTTATTAAGAATATCTTACTAAAATTGAAATTGATTCGGTAGTATTTGAGTTAATACAAAATAAACAATGTCATCATGTCTTTTAAAAATTTTATTTAACTGGACATAACATAAAAAGCTATAAAATATAAAAACCCATTCAAATATTATTTTGTAGTCGGTAGCGGTTTATGCTATTTATCGCTCATGACAATCGCACGAATTCCGGATTCAACTTAAAATCTGCGGTTCCTCTGGTATTGCTGATGTCCATGGGCGTCGTTGAATACCTCGGCGTTCCCGCTGCTCGTTTGCCCCCTTTTGTTATAAAAAAAACTCTGTGATATATCGTACAATGTTTAATTAGGAAAATAATAAGTTAAATACATTGTTGTATGGAATTTTTTTATTACTTTAAGAGGTTTTAAATCTTTTCTTACATAACATATCGTCATCCCTGTTATTATATTTAACAAAACAGAGATAAGAATATTTTTTAATCGGAGATTTTGGTTTCAGAAACCCACAGTTAAAGCGTTACTTCCGTATTTCGTGCCATTGACCTTTTACTTTAATAATTTCCTTAAAACCCTTATTACCTTTTAAAAACAGGTGTAACGTGAGATAGCCTTGGTAAAATTTTGTCTTGCGATAAGTCGGTCAAGAGTAAAAATGCACCGGCAATTCACAACCAAAAAAACCTTCGTTTAGCAGGAAACAACGAAAATCAGTTTTATGAACGAATTAAAAAAATGATATGTAATCCATAAAAATGGCTACAAAATACAGTAAAATTTATCTCTGGCATTTCATATTTAAATAAATACATGCGCATATCCGCACAGTTAAGTTAAAATGAAGTATAGGTTCTTATTTTCTTAAGTTAAAAAGTCTCTTAGTTTGCCGTTATGTAATTTAATGCCATATGTTCAAACATCGAGAGGTCAATGAACTAAGAATAGAATTCAGATATAAAATCACTCGTATATACACTACTAATATACATATTAAATAGATATATGATATATCAACTTTACAAAAAGTGTTAGACAAATAATAATTATGAATATACTTAATTTTATGGTTTCCGTCGCATAAAATTTACGTTATCTTAATATTATTTTAGAAAAATTAACAAACCAAATCTAAGTTCCAAAATAGTTTCGGCTTAGGCCAAGACATGACGAAACTATGAATTCATAATCTAATACTGAATTTAAATGTATAAAAACAGCAAAATTGTAATAAAAACAATATTGTAGAAAACACAAAGTTCGATCCGTATTCGCTTAATAACCGAAACATATCAGTTTCATGTCAACAACCTTCATTTTCCGACATTTTTTTTTATTTTTAGTTTGAATTAAGACGAAAATTCGTCTTGTATTCATTCCATTTCATAAGAGAAACCACACATATAAGATTCGCTGATTTTAATCTTTATTCTGCTTTGGTTTCGCGTTCCGTTTCGTGCCAAAGTCGAAACCAGTTGGCCTCTTCAACCTGCATATAAATCATAATTTGCAACAGTTATTCGGCACAGATTGATATTGCAATACTGGTTTATAAAACCGTGGCAATCTATTACATATCCGGGTACGTTTTATCAAATTATAATGATTGGCAACTTCACCTTGTTCAAGAAAAAAAAAACCCGCTATGATTGCCAAATCTTAATTCACACTCCGAAACATTAATGGATATTATCTAGGTATAACAAAATTATGCTATATATATTGTTAGGAAGAAAATCCGAAAATGTGCCAGTGTATTGACGCAACACTAGCTCTCCTAAAATGTCGACGTTTGTGTCACCTCACTATTCATTCTGACACTAGACTTTGCAACTAAAGCACGTCATTCGCGCCAAAGGATTCTAATTAATAATGTCTAAAAGTATGTAGTTACCACAGATTGCATACAAAGATGTTTTATTACATGGCTTTTTTATCTTCATCTTAAGCTTGAGTCAGAGTACATAAAATAAAAGATAACCGCTATTATTTCATATTTTCCTTACCTTAATAAGAAATGAATAAACTGCCACAAAATAAATTCTCATAAATGAATATAAAGAAGCAACGTACATATTTACATACAAAATTAAAATGTATCTTCCTAGCAGGCGTGCAAAAAATTTACTAAACGAAATAAGAATAATAAATATTATAATAGCTTCTGGCCAAAGCCTTTCGCGCTCGAAATAAAAAAAATAGTAATATAACCTATGTTACTCAGTTATAATGAAGCTTATTAACGGCAAAAGAATTTCTGAGATCGGACGAATAGTTTTCGAGTTTATTCGCTACATACTAATATGATCATTTGGGTCAAGTTGAAATAAAAGATAAATTAACTTAAGCATGAACAAACATATAAAATATAAAAGG